AGACTCCCTGCTGAGCAGGGAGCCCGATGTGGGACTCGATCCCGGGACTCCAGGATCATGACCTGAGCCGAAGGCAGTGGCTTAACCAACTGAGCCACCCAGGCGCCCCACAATTTTAATTATAATGAATACTCCTTAACTGATATAGACATCCATAGTTTGCATATCAGACTAGTAACTGAAATTAACTTCAACTAAGCATGGATTAACAGCGTCTCTAACAAAACTATAGATTAGGAGCATTTAGTTGCTACAAATGAAGGACCCATGTCTTACTTATACAGATGTCTTTTGTGCATGCTTTCCCCTTTAGTACTGATACAAGGAAGGTGGATATCATTTAACTGAAAGAGCTCCATCTCCCAGTCTCTCAGGAACAAAAGCTCAAATTCTGAATGTGGTTTCTACCCAAAGCTATACTGAGTATTTTATACATGAGAAGTTCTACCTTTAGTATGTCTCATTTGTCCTAAACTACCTATCTATATGCCTCCCAAGTAAGACAGGGTTTTTTACCACGTGGGTCTAAAAGGTAAACAGCCATGCTTGCCTTCATGCATATGGATGACTCTCTGTTTCTCTGGATTCTGGGATCCTTGAGTCAGTCCTCTGCCAGGAATAAGCAGCCCCTTGTTCAAGGAACAAAACCTACAAAACAAGATAAAACACACTGGAGTAGGTTCCATGGCTTCTTGGCAACCCCAAAGACCGGCCCCTCCTCCCAGAACACTTGGCCAATCCATATCCTTAGTATATACTTTCTTGTAAGGGTCTGTATTTGTTTCTCCAGTGTATGTATATTTGCATATGATGCTATTCTATAAATCATCTCTCCAACTACAGTAAACATTTCATGAGAGCAGAGACCAATTAGCTCACAATCTACAAAATAAATAAAAGATATCAACCAGGTTTAATGGATTTACTCTTGCTTTTTTATTAGCTTCAGAAGCCCAGAATCAATTTGGTAAACAGTTGAGTAAATTATTTATGAACATTTATTCTTAATTATGAACATTTATTTTGTTCTTTATTCTCACAACATAAGTTCAAGCCAATTATAAGTTAATGAATTTGAACCAGACTCAAAGAGAATATTTATTGGACTGGGGCAGAAATCTCCTAATCCCCAAACAAAATAAAAACTATTTGCCCAAATGTGCCTAGCCTAGTCTGCCAAAATAAGTTAAGTTGGTTTTAGTTCACTGTTTTAACTGTTGACTCCTAATCACTCACTATCATATCAGGGATAACACACATACAGTATCAGAGATTGGCAAAGCAATTTGCTGATTGCACAGCTGAAGAAAGCAAGGCACTGAAGAGGTCAAGAACCCCAAATACTGTTACTCATTCTAGTTCAAGTTACTAATAAATTCTTACTACCTCATGCCAGGACAAGTGAGGACTAACACCCCCACCCCCCCAAAAAAAGTTTCTTCATCTGTAAAATGGGGTATAGTATCTTATCCTACAGGACTGTCATAAGGAGAAAGAAGTTCCTATACACACATGCACGCATAAATGCATCTGCAGGCAAGCTGGGTTTTTTTTTGTTTTTTTTTTCACAATCTCAGGCTACTTCCCTTTTATATATGCAGCACTGAAGTGGAAGGAGTGGAAGAATGGTTTAATCACTACCCAACATCTCAGTACCTCAGAGTTACTGGCTTATCCCCTGATAAGCTCTCCGGAGTTTTACAGCGAAATCCCTAGGTAGGCCTTTAGAAGAAACTGTCAAGAAGCTTTGGGACAGGGGCGTCTGGGTGGCTCAGTTGGTTAAGCGACTGCCTTTGGCTCAGGTCATGATCCTGGAGTCCCGGGATCGAGTCCCACATCGGGCTCCCTGCTCAGCGGGGAGTCTGCTTCTCCCTCTGACCCTCTTCCCTCTCATGCTATCTCTCATTCTCTCTCTCTCAAATAAATAAATAAAATCTTTAAAAAAAAAAAAAAAAGAAGCTTTGGGACATTCAGGCCCTAGGACCCTATGATTGAACCTTTCCAACAAAAGAAGACCAAGGAGGCCAATCTCTTCATGGCTTGCCTAGGAAGTCAGAGAAGTCACCTACGGTGTGAGCAAAGTGTCTTAGCTCTGTTCTGGGTCCCAAGCTTAGGGTAGGTGTCCAGGAAGAGCTTTCAGTACACTAGCAGGCAATGCCACTCATATGCCCTCCACTCTGGGGAAATGCCTCAATTTAGAAACTGAACAAATTCAGGTGACTCTTTGGTGAGTCTGGGGGAAAAAAAGAAGCTACAAAGATTGCCCACTTGTCAAATAGCCTTATCATTTCGAACAGTCTGTATTCATTTATGAACTCTTCCACTCACTAAACACTAACAGAGTACCTGCTTAAGGTTCAACAGAACTCACAAGAAAGGAATGCAGGTTTACGGGAGTTCAGGGCAAAGAAAGAGACTTCCAAACTGGGGGAGAGGAGATCAAAAAAGGTTTCCCTGGGAAAAGGCACATGGCAAGACCATGTAGCTTTTTTTTTTTTAAGAATGATTGATTGATTGCTTTGACAGAGAGAGAGAGCGCCGCGCACAAGCAGGGGGAGCTGGAAAAGAAGAAGCAGGCCCACCACTGAGCAGGGAGCCCAATGTGGGACTCGATCTGGGGTTCGATCCCAAGACCCTGAGATCATGACCTGAGCCGAAGGCAGACGCTTAACTGACTGAGCCACCCAGGCGCCCCAAGACTGTGTAGCTTTGCAGAAGGCCCCGCACATCATGTCCAATATAAGCAAAAGCCAACTGTGGCCCTTCCTCGAATGTAACACTGTCTAAATAGTGTTAACAAAGCTTTTATTTTTTAAGTGCTATGAGAGAGAGAGAGAACCTTTTTCAACAGATAGCAAGATCCACAGGGACAGTGAGAGAGAGAGAAAGAGAGATCCAGGATCCCCAAGAGAAATGATTAAGTTCAGTGTCAGTCAGCACCAGTATGGCCCACACTGAGCTGGTGCACCTGTAGCGGGATGATTCCAAACGCTGGAACAGGGGTGAGGCCTCTGGGAACCTGGCCAGGCACAAAGAACCTGGGGACAGCTGGAGTGCTCAGGTGAAAGGGGCTGGGGGAGAGCCAGACTTGCCCTAGAGTCCCTAGGCGTTAACTGTGCAAGCCGGCACGTGACACATACAAAAAGGCATCCTCCTTGTCTAAGTAGCCTAATCAAGCCCCCCACCTCGCCCCCTTGCTGCTCATTAAAGGTAAAATTTAGATCAGCACCGAAGGCCCTAGGCACACAGTCCTGACTGAGGTCCTGACAGCCCAAGAGGTACCCTGCAATCTCTGCGCACATTATAATACACTTTACCCAGAGTCCAAGCAGATCAAGCACTTAACCCTAAAAATGCTCTCCAAAGGAGGGCAAAGGGCTGGGAAGTTAATGTGGAATCCTAAATGCTAGCTATCCGACAAGGGGCTACCCCCAAACCACACCCATGATGAGCAAAGAGAAAGGAATTTCAGGGAACACCCAACTTCCTCCCTTAAAGTGCCGCTTCGCTTTTAATATCAAACTCTGCTCCAGAAGCCTTTAAGGTGGGGGTCGCGGCGCCCCACCCGAAGCCAGACAGCACCCGTCCAGGCACGGTAGCGGAAGGTCGGCGCCCCTTCCCATCGGGCTTCCCTTTCTACCCCCCCAAACCCTCGCATTAGTCCCTCCAGCAGGCGGCCGGCTCCTTCCGCCCAGGCCAGCTAGCAGCCTGAAGCGCGAGCGTGGGCGACCCCAGGACCGCGCCGCACTTGCCCCCTGCTACCTACCGCAGCGCCGCCCGCCTCATCGCGCTCTGCGGCCGCGCGCGCGACCAGAGACCCAGGCCACGCGAGCCGGTCGGCTGGGGAAGTTGCGGGAATGGAGAGCGCGAGCGCGAGCGCGAGCGCGGGACCAGACCTCGCTCCCCACGGCCGCACCCTCGCGGAGCAGCCGCCCGGGGGCGGAGCCTTGCTGCTGGGGGTGGGGGCTCGCGGCGGACCGGGGGTGGTGCGCGGCGCCTGCAGCCTCTGTCATTGGCGGGAAGCCTGAGTTGGAGGACAGGCCAGCCCCGCCATTATCGATTAAAGGCACCACGCAGCATGGACAGAGTGTGACGTGGAGGCCAGAGGTCCTCGAAGCTTGTTTCCGTTATTCCGCTTCGCCGAAGGCCGCGCAACCTTGACCCCCATGCCTGGGCTCCCGGTCTGTGGTTCTTGCCCTTAGCTGCGCGTCGGAATCTTCTGGGCAGCTTTCCGGAATACTGATGCCTGAGCCCCACCCTCTGGGGATTCCTATATAGTTAGGAGTCCGGTCCGGCCTTCAGGACGTCTAAAGGCACCCCGAGGTGATGCTTACGTATGCGAAGTTAGAAACCACTGACCTAAAGGGAAAAAATTGTTTCTATTCTAATTTCGGCCTGCCCCCTAGTGTTTGAAAGTTGGAGATTTTGGCTGGCCCAGAGCTATTCAAGGCCAGAGAGTTAATATGATTTTACCCTACGACCTGATTCTCCATTTCATTCAACGAATTCTTATTAAGCCGTTTGCAGTGCGCCAGACGCTGTTGTAGATGCTGGGGATGCAACAAAATAGACAAAAATCCCTGCCCTTAGGGGGCTTACCTTAGAAGGAAAACAAGTCAGCAAGTTCGCAAATAACAATTTCAAACGTGGTAAAGCAGTCTAAAGAGAAACAAAACAAGATAATGAAAGAAGATCCTTCCAGAATATACACAAATCTTGACTTTCCCTGAAGATGTTTGGAGGCAGGGACCATACTGCATGCTTTTTATGATACCTCATGCTTAGTAAAAATGTCCATTTTAATTAAGCTAACTTTTTTTTTAAAAAAATCACTTCATAAATTACAAATGGAACATGGTCTTTGGCTTTGTCTTTCCTCTCTACCTACCTTTCCCTTTTATGAGACCCACATCCAGAAGACTCTCCTTTTGGCCATTAGGGATACATTCTTTCATTTTTGTTCATATTGTCTGTACCTCTTCAGTGATGGTTTTGAGACATTTTGTGTCACTTATGCTTTTTAACACTCTACCAACCTAACACAGTACAATAAATATTTTATTGAATTACACTATTTTTCTTCTTTTTACTTTTGGTTAAAGCAGTTAGACGCAGAGAGAAAAATTAAAGAGAATTTTTCAGGTTACAAAGATGGTATAATAATGGATAGGGACAGCTTATAATTTTTGTGCAATCCAGTCACCTTCCAACCAGACACATTCTCATCAGCATATAAATGGTGTCGATTTGGACCAGAACAGCTGAAACCAGGGACTCAATGCCACGAAGATGCCTTCTTTCCATCGCTTATCTTCACTTCCCTTTGCACACTGGCCTCATTCTTTTTTCTCTGTATAATAGCATTCTCCACATAGCAAAAGAAGTTCCTGAACTTTACATCTTATAACCATAGCCACATGCATAGAGGCTGACCCAAATTTCTGTGTCCCGAGTAAAAAAAATTCCTGAAAAGAAAGGGGATTGAGAAGTATAAATTTCCCATTATAAAATAAATAAGCCACAGAGATGAAAAGTACAACATAAGAAATATAGTCAATAATATCTTAATAACTTTGTATGGTGACAAATGGTGACCACACTTATCATGGTGAGCACTGAGTAATGTATAGAATTACTGAATCAATATGTTGTATGTCTGAAACTAATATAACATTTTATGTCAATTAGACTTCAATGAAGAAAAATTCCCGAGAAGGGATTCACTGGCCCAAGTGGGATCAAGTACACACCCCTGGAGAGGTCAACTGTGGCAGCAGCACAAGGTCATATGATTGGCCCATGTGACTTACCAGAAATCCCCTCAGCCAGAACCATGGTCAAGTACTAGGTCACAATCTACTAACATGGCTATTTCCCATAGATAGGGAAATGGAGCACTTCTTAGAAAAGGAGTGCTGAGCAACCAACCCCATAGATGTCCACTACATATGTAATTTAAACAGGAAAAAAAATGATCCCATCACTTAACCCACTTACCTCAATTCTAACCTCACAGAACCCCTGTTAAACCCAGCCAACCCAGCATTCATCCATGTGTCTACAGTTTTCTCAAATGGCAGATGCATAAAATTCTTAAACCAGGGGCACCTGGGTGGCTCAGTCGGTTAAGCGTCTGCCTTCTGCTCAGGTCACGATCCTGGGGTCCTGGGATGGAGCCCCATGTTGTCCAGCACCCTGCTCAGTGGGGAGCCTGCTTCTCTCTCTCTCTCCCTCTGCCCTTACCCTCAACTCGTGCTCACTCTCTCTAGGGCTCTCTCTCTCTCAAATAAATAAATAAAATCTTAAAAAAATAAATAAATAAAAATTCTTAAAACAGTTTAGCAACCCTGATTTTTGTGTGTGTAATGTTGTAAAGCATATAGGTTATACCAAATTGTGGGTAGCAGGCATAGAAGGCAAAATGGCCAAAAATCAGACCAGGAAACATCCAGCAGTTGTATAGTGGTGAGATCACTGTCCTTAAGTAACAGATTCTTCACCCAACCTTTTTGTTTCCTGTTTTGTTCCATTAGTTCTATTTTGATTTGGTGTCAGGGTAACAGAGATAGTACCAAGAAAAATCATGCATTGACAGATACATAAGATATCATCAAGGTCACTATTACAAGTAGAAGAATAAAATCAAATAACAAAACTTAAAATGTTGTCTGCTCAGTCATGCAATATGAGTGAAAAGTATCTAGTAACCATCTTTCCTTGGGCTGTTGAACCATATAAATTTTGGATATCTAATTTAGGGTAGAATATGTTTTTGGAAAACTATGTCATCGACTTTCAAACAGATTCTTGCTACGATTTCAATTAGGATCCAGAAATTACTTTTTAAAAATTAGTTTATTTCCTGGATTATAGAGATTACACAGAGGGATCCAGAATTGGGAGGTACAGGAGGGAACAATGGAAAAGAGATTTTCCCCCCAAACCTTAAAAAACTGGAAAGACTACTGAGCTGTTACATGAAAGTGCTTAATATTATACCCACTTGCGCCAAGAAAAACAAAATTCAGCGTAGGCAATTTTGAAACAACAGTGATTTTTATCAGTTTCCCTACCTTCCCTCAGTTCCACTTTTATGACTGCTCATCAAATCCAAGGGTTGAAAGGTTTGTGTCTTTAATGCTCTCCTTTTCCTCTAACAATTTCCCCTTGTTTAAAAATAGCAAATTTTTACAACATGCCATACTATTAGTGATATGGGATCAGAGGGCCTCCTTAGGATGGGTACAACTTCATTTCAGGGTGTCATCTTCAATAAAAATGCCTCTTTCAATAAAAGAGGGCTTAAACGGTACAATTTCAAAGGTGCCTCCCCTACCACTGCCTAACCTGATCATTCTTCACCTCATCATGCCCACCCTCTCTCCCACTCTATCCACTTTCACCAACCAATTCAGTTCTTTTCCGTTTGTTCCTCAGTCTGCATCCTATTTCTCTCCATTCTCCTGCCCAGCCACGTTCCATATTTTCTCACACCACCCCAAGTGCTATCATCCCAGGAAATAGAGCCTCTCGTTAGTCCCAAGGGGAGCCTGTTCAGCTGGGCCAGCGTAGAAGCCAATTCTGCCATTCCTCAGGCAAGGAAAACCAACAAGTACCTCCAGTACAATTACAGCTGCACTGGGATGTATAACCATGAAGGGAACAAAGCTGTAAACGTATTTCATTCTCTTTGCAAAAGCTCAGGCTTCAGAGTGCATGCAAGCTTTTAAAACTTACTTTGCAGTAAGGTTTATATATTTCATATATGCTAAAATCATGCTGGCTGTTTGAATTCATAAAACATGCTTTGGGGTATAAATTTGTATTTTGTGCTTTTTGGAGATGGGCCACACCAAAACAGGGCAGTGCCAGTAGTATTAATTTACTTTATCTTTAGAAACACTGACGTTACTCTAGCTAGTTTATCTTTATGTGTGTTATTTATAGGATTGTTAGACTGCTTTGTTTGGTTTATATAAGTAATTAGCACATTGCACAAGACACCACATATGGCTTCTGTTTGGCCTCTTCTGTGGAGGGAGGAAATATCCTTATTTTACTCCTAAAAGCCTCTTCACGGTGCCCATTTCTTCCTTGACTCTAGTTCCTACTATTACCCACAATCCATCACTCCCCGTATGTGGCTCAGGCTCCTCCATCTCCCTCACCCTGGCCCTGGCAGTTCTCACAACACTTCCCTGAGGAGATAGATAGTAAGAGTGAGAGACGGAGACAAAGACAGAGAGATAAGAAAAAGGAGGAGGAGCAGGAGGAGAAGAGAAAGAGATTAGATAGAGATACACACAACAGTACTGTTGGCGGCCCTGAATATGCCCTCTAATAGCAAACTCAAGCTCTCAGTGTGTGTGTGTGTGTGTGTGTGTGTGTGTGTGTGTGTGTGCGCGCGTCTGTTGGGACACTAGAGAAACAGTGGCCCCAGCAGAAAGCTCAAATGATATACTTCCATGACTGGAGCAGCCCCATCTCTAACTGTTGTCTGTGGCTTCCCGTCCGGGACTGTAAGGGTTGAGAAACACTGCGGGCGGCAGGTAAGGGAGTGGACGAGAGGGAATTGGAGAGGGGTTCTCTGTTGATGGGGCATATCCACGAGGCTCAGAATACCGTTGAATCATTCCTGAACCAAGAGCCCTACCGAGACCAAGCTGCTTGCAGCGCTGCCTCCCCAGGCCTGCAGCCCACCTGCAAATTCTCTGCATGCCACACAAGCCAGCCCACACCGGAAGAGAATGAACATCAGCCAGATTCAGTCCCCACCATTTCTCGGGCTTCCCCTCTCTAACACTGACACCACCACCATTTCGTCTCCTCTCCTCATGCCTCCCCACCTCCTCCTTCAATACCACAGACACCCACAGAAATTCAATGACATTTGAGAGATTAAAAATAC